TCATCTGCATATCTTGGATTCTTGATATTCCTTCCTCCTATTTTCACTTCTCCTTGTTCTGTGTCCAAGTCTGCTTTTCTTATATGTTCTGCATATAAGTTGAATAGGTAGGGTGATAGGATGCAATGGTCTGTTCCTAAGGGGCTGCCTTACTTATATTCAGAGCTTATATACCCTTTTAGGCTACAGCTCCCTGAATCACCCTATCAAAAGGTAACTTTCCCAAACTCTGCTCGATGGGTACAACAATGGACACTTATCAGGCTGGCATGCAATGGTATTAACTATACAGACATATACCAGAAGCATACGTCCATTGCATATCTTGTATATATATTCATGAGTGGCCCAAAGGAAAGTACTTAAGAATAAAGAATTATTCTTTCTACATGCAAGAGATTGTTTATAATATGGTACTTGAACAAAACCTATTAGGAAGTTGGTATGCTTATAATGTTACAGGATAACACTCTTAAAAATGGCCAAATTAGATGATTGATTGGGAAAAGTAGTGAACTGTGAGGTGTTCCTTATTTTGGTTTTGGGAAACATTTCCTTTCAGTTTCACTGTAGGCAACCAATGAAAGAATGAATTCCACAGTCCCCAGTGGGCAACAGCTGTGCTCAAGAACTGAAGGCAAGGGAGGGACATGGGAGGCTAATTCAAGGTGACCGCTGGCTTGTGGACCGTGACCCAACTCCTATGCCTGATTAAAATAACTGCGAAGCTTAGAGCAGACAGGTTACTGCTTCTGACCTCCTCAAATTGTTGTTTTTTCTGTGCAGATCCCATGGTGAAGGATGCCACTTCCTCAGATAGGGAACTCCTTGAACTCAGTGATAACGATGTGACAGAGATCAACTTGCATGCGGTGGAATCTCTTAGTGACCTGCACTACACATCCAGCAGGCATGAAGGTGCAAAGGCCTTAAGAGGTATCTATTCCCAATGCCCTGCATCAGATCCTAAGCAGCCTCAACACTACTTGTAGTAACCAAGTGTTACACCTGAGCTCACTACAGAATGATAATGTGTTTCCATTCTGAAAACAAGGCTGAGATGGCAGGGGTGGTGGTGATCCTGTATGAGCCAATAATCCACAGACTGTTTCATTGCTCCCATGTATCCTGCTCTTTCCCCCTTCTTTTGCAGAGAGCATCCAGTCTCAGCCCAACACTCCACGGACCCCACACAGTGCTACTTCCTCCAAGCATTTCACCTTCCCAAACGAAGAGGACACAGCCTTTCTGCAAGTCCAGAATTTCCACATCTTACCTGCTTTTACCTGCTGCCCCTGCTTCAGCTCCACATGTTGCCCCACGGGCTTCTTTGCTCTCCTTGGAGTGCTAGTAGTGGCCAGCCTAGGCCTAGCTACGCTGGCTGTTTATCTAAGTGGTAAGTTCAGGGCCTGGCAAACCGCTCTTAGGGTGGCAGGTAAGAGAAGGCTCATCTGGGGCCCTGGGATGAATGGATGGCAGAGCGGGGAGCAGCAGTGCTGGGACACATAGATACATTACAGGCTGAGCAATCTCATTCTGAAGACCATGTGATCTAAGGGAGTACAGTATTTCTAAGTAGTTCTTTCACATTGGACAGCCATTGTTAGCGTTCAAGTAAGTAAAACAGGTGTTTAAAACAATTCACACCCGTCCATCCCACTGAATTCCCAGTGCATCTGAGCCAGTTCACCCAGATTCCCCTCCAGCATTGTGTCATCCGCATAGTAAGATGTTGTTCAGCTAGACAGATATAGTATGTGAGACATAAAGCTCACAGACACAGCTTCACAGGTCAGTCTAACAAAGATATCCTTGCCACACAGAGAGTAGACACACATACTGAAGACCAAAGCATAGCATAACACATTCCTGGCCAAAACGACAGCAAGCTTGCTCAATCTCTCCACCGACAAAGTAGCAAAGGAAGAAGTGCCCAGTTCTGCTGTCTCTCAGCCCTCTGCTAATTCATCTTAGTATTATGTTTCATTGTTCAGACTGCTAGCTTAATTAATTAACACTCTGTATCTAAAATGCTTTGGGCATCTTGAATAAGTAGTGAAAAAATTGGGAAGACACCATCATCCCAGCAAGGCAATAAATACACAAGGCAATTGTGTCTGCTCATGACTGTCTTGCAGCAAAAGATTATACACAGTGAACCATTAGGAATTGTCTTCAGGTGGGACAGAAGAGAAATGAGAAAGTCGCCTTCATTGCTATGCAGAGGGGCGGAGTATAACATTATTATTATTATTATTATTACTACTACTACTACTACTACTACTACTACTAAATGCAGGACAGCTTAAGAGGACACTCAACGCTGAGCTATACCAATCAGTGTCTGCTCCTCCCCTTGCAAGACATATCATCAGCTTGAAAGCAGAGGGTATTGGCAGCTGCAACACAAGAGCCCAACACATTTCTTGAGGACTCCAAAAGACCTCCAGCACACTTTCAATTCAGACTCCCAAATTCAAGTCTCTAAGCAGTCTTGCACTGCCAGTTCCTTTTTAGTGGGACCAGGGTATGCCAGGAGCTAAAACATGCAAGCCTAAGGTTCTGCGATGCCTCAGAGTATACCATCCCATCCTCTTCTTAAAAATGTCCCAAACTGAGAGGTTGTATAACCACTGCATATTGGTCATATAATTTCTTCTTGCCCCCTCTAGTCCTACAGCGTGAGTCGCTCCGGGTCCTCGCCCAGTGGTTGGAGTCCCAAGAGGAAGCCATCCGGCAAATGAGGGCAGTGAGCATACAACTATGGAGGCAACTCAATGACAGTGAACCTGGGGCTCACACCTGAGTAAGGTGGTTCCTCCTCTCACCCACACCCCACATTCTCCGGGGGAGGGAGTTTGAGGGGAAAACAACTCATTCCTTGACACGTTTTGAACACGAACATTGGTGGTTTGGACTAGGTGGCTGCCTAAGGTAACAAGAAGTTCTCTAGAATCACTGGAGAGTTTTGCTGAGGTTCATTACCTTAGGGAAAGTAACGCCTGGAGCATTGAGGCGATCCAAGGATGGGAAAGACAGGCAGATATCCTACTGAAAAGCAAAGGAGGAAGGGATATCTGCACAGCAGCCTCTCATCAGTTTTTCAGATGTTTTTATTCCCAGAGTATTTTGAAAGAAATGATTAGCACCGTTTTCTTGCACGATATTGCTTTACTTTATACCCATTTAAAATGTTGCCTGTGTGGCAGCTTTGCAGATGTGACTGAGGACTGAAAATAAAGCCAACAGTCTTTCTTTGCCAAAGTGTGTTTTCTTGAAAGGCACTGTTTTTTCTTGGTAAGCTTTAAATAAAAGTGTGTGGGGGGGGGAGGGTCTTCATCTGTAGAAAAGGCTGTCTAAATCATGATGTAAATTAGACCCAATGTCCAAGCTCTTTCTATACAATCCTAGTTATTTTTCCCTCACATCAAGAACTGATTGAGGTGGAATAACACTGCAGTGCAAGAGTAAATGTGGACTGACAGTTTACACAGCCACAGAAATCTTGATTTATAACATCATTCTGGGTTTTGCAGGGTTTTTAAAAGCAGAAAAATCACCTGTGTGTACTCAAGGTTTTATTCATGAAGACTACATTTTATTTTTTTA